TGTCCATCAAGCGGGGTGGTTTTCGGTAAAATATTTTTGTATGGCATTTCTAAAGTATATAGGTTATACAAAAAAATGAACCTCGACCTAATGCCATACAAAAATAGCAATACCGGAAGTCAGGAAAATTTTGGCCCGGGTTTTGGTGATTTATTACAGTACGGCATATATACTGCAAGTTTCGGATCGATACATAGATAAATTTTTAAGCGACGCCGTACATACTTGCTGATACAGGGGTTAGGAATACAGGGTGCAACCCTCTATTTGTAAGTAGCATATGGGGGGTATTTTATATAGAAATATTTTTCAGTAATGCCGTACATATTTGTCGATGCAGGAGTGAGAAACCCCGGATGCAAACCCCTATATTCTGACCCTTATGGTTTCCGATCATTGAAAAATGGTCGGCATTGTTGCTAAAACATTACTTAAGATGTAAAATAATTTTTAAGTAATATGCCGTTAAAAAAATCACCAAAAACCGGGCCAAAATTTTAAGAAAATCCTGGCATCCGGTATTGCTATTTTTGTACGGCATTAGTCGAGGTTCATGCTGGGTCAAATGACCCCTTGAAAATTTCCGATGGGCTTGTAGTCAATTTTATTTCACGCTCAATATTTCTGACCTTTGTTATGCAGTAAAACCTAGTATTTCCTTAAAAAAAAACAGGTAGAGATATTTACTAGTTTATATGCGTACCTTTTCATTCCTCCAGAGCAACTCCAGCACTGGCTGGACAGCGACAGAAGCGGCGATCTGCAGTACGCCGCCTGCGCCCTAGACACCTCGGTGGAGAAGAAGTCGTGGAACTTCCTGCTGGCCAGGCTGAAGCTGCTGCTGGGAATCTACAGAACGACGCTGGAAGAAGACATCGAGTTGCTGAAGGAAAGCCAGCTGACCGGCAACAAACGGCTGGCGGTAAGAATGAGGGCAACCGAGAAAAAAATCCTTAGAGACACCGCCGAGTATGTGGAACAGTTCGTCAAGCAATAAACGACTTTTACCCGAGAGAAAACCGATAGAATCTCGGATGTCGTTAACTCAATTTATTTATTAATTCTGTTTGACGTGATTTAGCTAATTATCCTGCTTGTATTTATTTCTTAGCGGTTACCAAGGATCACATTTATCTTTGTTTTAAGGCGTTCTGCTGGAAATAAATTAAGTATGTATTTGAAGATGTCGCAGTTTACCTGATTAATATAACGATTGCTAAAATTCTATTCTATTTGTACATGGCGATTAGTTCCCTTCTAAAACCAAAATGATTTAAGTTAATTTTAAACAAACATTGAAAATAGAACTCTCTGTATGTACCTATAGAGGACAGATAGGATATCTTTTACTCATACAGAAACGCACCAGCTTGAAAAATTTTTGAAAATTAATATAAAAAGGTATACTTATTCGAAAATTATTTTTTTTAATTCTAACCAACTTGTAAATAATTTTTGTCATTTGGATTCCAGTTCTGGCAGAAAATAGTTCCAGAAACTATTAAAATAGTAAGTAGTGGTATTTTCAACACATTTTCATTTAATTTGTATCATAAATAAAGTGTTCAACCATTGTGAATTGTCCTGGAATCTGGAACGCAAAGCAAAGTCTTCCTGTTATTGCCACGTATTTTTAAAGTCATTATGAGGTTGGTACTAGGTATAATTGAATTGGTAGAATGTCATTTTTCATTTACTTAATGGAAAACATTTTAGATACCCACCATTAGTATATATGTATCTACCTTAGAGCATATACTACTAGAGGCAGTGTCCCAGTGGCCGAGAGTGTAGCGGAGGTTGTAGAGAAAGAGGGGTATAGGAGGGTATATTATGCTATCTCTCCCTAGCAGCACGCGATTGGTTGCTGTCCTCTCCCCCTGTCAATGGCAGAAGCAGCTGTTCACGATAGAACCAATCGTATGCTGCTGGAAAGAGATAGCAAATACCCTCGTATACCTCTCGCTCTTTCTCTACAACCTCCGCTACACTCTCGGCCACTGGGACGCTGCCTCAAGTAGTATATGCTGTAAGGTATCTACGCTTCGAGTTGCTACTGTGATACACAAATCTGATTTTGTTCAAAACGCGCCCACTCATGACAATTTAAACCAAACCAAACAATTCTCTAATATTTAAATATTTGTTGACTGAACTTTTATATCGCAGTCTTTGACAGTAAACTGTCAAATTGTTTTGCTAATCCTATGTAAATAAACTGCGTAGGTGTTTGTTGAAATAAAGTAATTTGCTGCAATTTGTTTTTTGTTTGTATCCTTGTGTTTTCAACGCTGAACGGGATTTAGTTTCAAGAGTTAAAAACTTCATTTAATCTAGCACCACGCGAATTATTCTTCTATAATATCTACGGATTAGTAGGTCGCTCTCTGCCATTAGTGGTAGGACTGGTAGGCATTGAGTAACAGTGCCAAGGTATGACACACGTTGTACGATATACCTATCTCACCCACATTCAGTAATACAGTGTTAGAAGTTTGACTACCTTAAATTTGACAGATGATAGAATATATTAACATAAAGTTAAAAAATAACTTACGACATGGGTCCTAAACAACCATTTCCGAGAAAAAAAATTATTAAAGTCTCCAACTTCATGTACAAAAGTTCCATTAATTGAAGAATATTGGCATAACTGCGTGCATAGAATACCATAAAATATCACTCTTTTGAACGTCTTTATGCTTAATTCTAAAAATAATTAGCGTTGTAATAAATTTAAAATTCGATAAAATTCATATCGAGCAATGTGACAACGGCGCGGCGGTTTATTAACACGAAGTACTAAGGTGTTCAGCAATCACCAATACGCAATTCAGTTGGTATCTGGATTGGACCGTGTCGGAGTGTTTTCTGCATACCACTATTTCCTTTTCTTGAGGTATTTTCCAGCGATGCGCGAAAATTGGATTGGAAGGAGTCGTGCGTGCATCGAAAATTGTGGTGGGCATTTTGAGCATATGTTGTAGCTTGTTTTGTACTTGTACGTTTAAAAATTACTGAATTTTGCTTTTTGGTAAGTACCTACCTAAATTATTTTTAATACGTATGATTATTTGGACGACGTGAATCTTTGGGTACTTTAATTATAAATATTTTTCAAATACATAATCCTGTTGTAAGAGATTCATAATTACTAAAATTCGAGCTAAAATTTAAGCACAACACTATATTCGTACTACAAAATTGATACATTTTATTTCAATTATTTGAAAACTGGAAACAATTGTATTGAAATTTACAAAATGTTTCACAATAATAGTTGTTTACATTTTTTCCGCAGGACAAGTCCGCCGCGTGCACACGTGGTGTGCATCAGCAGGTTACGCGCTGTTGTCACGTCGTGATGAAACTCCCCAATATTAATACTCGCTGTATTTTGAAAACTGTTAATTTTACGCCCCTATAATGTATAACTTTTTTGTTTATTTATGATTACTCTATCTCAGGCTGAAGTAATGGCAGTCAAATTTCTTACACCCTGTATATTTGGGATGATCTGGACACAACAATGTAGTCATTTAAATGCCAATAAACCCAATACAAATGCATATACATTTATACTAAGTAATTGTGACGAAATACTTATTAATGGAGCAACTTTATCTACATAATAAAGGAGAAGTATTATTTTTATAACAGTTTCAAAAGAAGTTCACTAAAATTAATTTCAAAAGTTACTGCATCGATGTGGAAAATTAAACCAAGTAAAGACTAAGAAAAGTATATTAAAGCCACAAAGGAAATCTTCATGTTGTGCCAAGCTGAACCGGAAAGTCTAAGGCTTGATCAAAGGTTTGAAAAGCCCTTCATCTCCTAAGCTCACTGCTGATGTTTGAAAAATTGTTTTGTTTCTTTTAGTTTCATTAATATAATTTGAAACATCCCTAATCTTGGATATTTTAATACATAAAAATTAATATATCAAATAACCAATTATGTTTATTATCAGCAAAATGTTATGCAGGCTGAAAATCCGTCAGGAAACCCCGGGAGGTGATTCTACGGATTAAAATAATAACAGTGTGTAATGAAATTTTTTTCGAATTATCAGTTGTTTGCAAGTCAAAGTTAATTTTTTTTAATTTTTCTATTTAAATAACATTATTTAGTTCAAGATCGATTAGTCTCTCATTAGCACACCCACTAAGTAGAACAAGAATGATTAAAAATTTGATGTTTAATAAAACTTTAATAGGGATTTCCCGCTAAACGGTTACATTTATCGGCTTGAATAAAGAGTACATATTTTTTTCTGATATTGTTTCTCTTTTCAATTATGTTTAAATTTCTGTGATGTCTAGCAAAAGAAAAAAAGTTATGAACAAAACAAATTTTGAGTTCTAGGCAAAGTGCTCTCTAGCGTTGCATATTCAAACTTTTCTCTGACTGATTCAATAGAGCTTCATCTACTTAGTGGGTGTGCCAAAGGAGAGACTAATGGAACTTGAATTAAATAGGTTATTTAAATAGAAATATAAAAGAAAATTGAACTTTGACAAGCTCGTAAGCAATTGAGAATTCGAAAAAAATTGTCATTGCATACTGCTATTATTTTAATACATAGATTCATCTCTCGGAGTTTCCTAACGGACTTTCGGAACACCCCGTATAACTTCCTATACCTACCTAGGGATGGTTTTTCCAAATGGTGGGCAAATTTATTGATGGATCATTCAATTCATATAATTAGTATATACAAGGCAGGTAGAAAAACCATTAAGCAATTAAATTTAATCTCTTAGTTGAATAATAGATAGGTACAAACCTGCATTAGAAACGGGCAAATAATACAAAATAAATCCACTCCCATGAAGACGATTTTAGATAAAAAAAAGGTCAACTTGGTGCCTGAGATGAGCATTAAATAAATAAATAAAGTACAATTGAGGTATAAATATAATTCACAGAAATTGAAATTCCCAGAGAAGGAGGATACCCTGTTCTGCTTTGAGACTATGTAATAAGTGGCCTCATATAATGGTGACCATACTTTGCATTAGAAGGTATTGTAGAGAACGTTGATCTAACGGGCTGTTCCATTTAAAAGCCGAAATCTCAGATTTCAGCAAACCAAACTGCACCCTTCTACGTCGAGAATTCGATAAATAAAAAAGTTACGGGGTGTTCGCCAATTTAAAAAAATTTCGTGATCTAATAAAGCCCCCTCCATGTATTTACAAGCAGAAAAACTAGGTAGGTATTCTTCAAATTTATCTATTAAAACATCTCTAATAAACTGCTCCGGTCTGATTGATCTTGTACCTCTTACAATAGTCGAGATCTACATGCTACCACTCGAAAAACAATCACTCAGTAAACACAGTCTATCGATCGTCCTTGAATGCTTTAGATCTCAACAGGTATCTGTACCTACAAACACACCAAGTACACTATGCTTACGTCAGATGGCAGAAAGCTAAATCAAATCTGATAAAAATTAAACAATACCTGTTTGTCGTCATTTATCAGATATGAGCGGCAATTCATCTAGATAAAAGTTTAGTGTGACGCGCGTGACGCGACTTACATCCACCTGTAAATTGCGATATAAAATAAACAAACCTAATTTTCTCAACTACGATTCATATTGCCGTAATTACTAATATGACTAGTTTAAGTAATGGCATCACCAGGGAGAAAATTTTGAATATAAACGACAGTCTGAGAATTAACAATTTGCATAAAAAGGAACTTAACTTCAAATTTGTAATTATAGGAGACTTTGGAGTAGGTAAGTCAAAATCTTTTTTTTAATTCATTTAATTTGAAATATGATGATACCTGCATACTACCTTGAAATATCTATTTAGCTAGATACTATTTTCTTATATTCGCGTAACAGATAAAGTGTTGATTGATTTTAAAATTATTTTACGCAAAAAATGCAGTATTTACTTGAGGCAGAAATAATAAATTCATTAAATTATCTAGTTTTAAACATTTAAAGGGGAATACCTACTAATACGTATAAAAAAAACGAAAAAGAACTTAACCTGCAAAATCTGCGTATTTTTTTTATATGTGAATTTACTGTTAGACTATTATTTAAAATTGCATATTAAAATATTACAAAGATGTTACACCTAAAATCAGTTATTTCACCTTGTTGCAACACCAGTTACTTAACATTTTCCTGTTATTTATTTCTACAGCCTGAAACCTAAAGAAAATCAGTAATTTGTTGTTTCGTATTTGATTCTGTTTAATTTCACAAAATTTGAGATTAAATCTATTTAATTTTCTGAAATCAGAACGAGTTTCATTTTTTAAATATCTGTATATGATATTTTCTTATCAACTTTATCAATTTTGTTGTTCCAGGGAAAACATCAATTATAGGAAGATACACAGAAGGTAAGCTATATAACGACAACAATGTTTAAAATAGTGTATCGTTAATTATCATCTGTAACATTTATTATGGATTTCCTCAGATACCTAAAAAGCTTAAAATCCAATATTGAAATGGATCTAATCTGGCATTACAGCTACCTATCTAAAAGTGCTAAATATTAATCCTCAAACTGCGCGTTTAATAGTACAAACAATAACCCGAAAGTTATATAATATTATTGTTCACATTCCTGGAAAATCGATACGGACGCATTCTTTGAATAGTTTTAACTAATCAATATCCCGCGTGGCTAAGGAATAGGTCCATTTTACATACTTAAGGAGAAATGAACTTGCCCTAAAAGTCACGCGTAGCGAAAGTTAATAATTATTTAACAATATTTAATAAAACCTTTTCTGCTTTACCAAAGTTTTGTATTTGTTTAAAAAACTAATTGTTTAGTTACTGCTTAGTAACTTTTATCAATCAAATGAATTTTTGTACCAAAACGGAAAATACTATGCCAAAATAAAATATACATTCTGCAGATTGAAATTAACATCTTGTTATTTCAAAAACGATGATTCGAAAAAATATTCTTAAATTTGGAAGAAAACGCTCCTTCATTTTTAATATGTTGTGATACACCAATACACCAATATTTATTAGTGCAATTTTAATAAAATTTTCTCATCTAACTTTTTGAAGAAAACAAAATATTTTGGTTTAATAATGGAAAATATAAGCAATTCAAATTAAACATACATTTAGAAACTTAAGAACAGGGTGAGAGCTCTATTATGAAACCCCCTGTAGACAATATTTGCCTTAAATAACACTTTCATCATAGCCTTTATCAACCAATGTATTCTACACAACTGTATCAACCATTTTTTTAATATTTGAGAGAGATCCTACCTAAACAGAAATATGCAGATGTTCCTCTTAAAAAATATCAAGTTTAGTAAATACATTTTTGATAGAATGTATGATGGTCACTAATAGGATGCTTTCCCATTAAATATTAAGATTCTGTTACAGCTAATATGATGAACAAGTAACACCATACTTTTATATAAATATTATTTATATTTGCCACTGTATTTGATTTCTACTGAAATAATAATTTACTTAATTCTTTAGGACAATTTTCAACTTCATATAAGATAACAATTGGAGCTGATTTTGCTATAAAAACACTGGAGTGGGATGAAGACATTCGAGTCAACCTTCATTTATGGGATATAGCTGGACACGAGAGATTTGGCAGTTTAACTGGAGTCTTTTATAGACATGCGTGAGCATCAACAAATTATTTGATAATGCAGTTTAACTCACACATTTTTGCAGGGTAGCAGCTGCAATAGTGTTTGATTTGACACGGCCAGAGACTTACTCATCGGCAGAAAAGGTATATAGTGTTTTTATTTTTTTATTACTTAATTTTGGAGCAATTAAATATAATTTCATTTTTGTTTCAAAAGTGGATTTTAGATCTAAGAAGAAAGGTACACTTGCCTGGAGGATTACCAATTCCCGTAGTTATTTTAGCTAACAAAGGAGATATAACTATTACTACACTGCCACCACAAATAGAAGATTTCTGCAAGGCAAATAATATTTTGGCTTGGTTTATCACATCAGCAAAAAATAATCTTAACATAGGTTTGTAATATAAACTCTGTTCTATAGCATAATAGGTTTGAATTTTACTACTTGCCGTAATAAGTATGTAAAGAAGTTGGATTATTTTTGTATTGGTTTCACTGTCTTTAGTTTTTTCAATTAATGATATATTTTCAGAAGAAGCTATGATTCGCTTAACAAATGCTGCCATACAGAACCATCATAATTTACAGTTCCCCCTAATAATGGATGATATTGTAAGTTTAACGAACACATCAGAAAATAGTGACGTCAAAAGAAAAACCTGCTGTTGAAGACTACTTTTACACACTTTTAGGAATCTCAAAACAAAAAAAAAATGGATATTATTTAATATATTTTTATAATATAAATAACAAACTACATTTTAACAAATGCAAATAAACTAATTTTTTATCTAAAAATTCACCACTCAACTTGCTCCTTTCTCCATTTTTTGAGCGGCTGCTATAGCACTTTCATTGGCTAATACCTGAAATTCTTGAAAACGCTGGGAGATTCTTTGGTTTACTTTAAGGAATTTCTCTAAACAATTTAAAGCGCACTTGTCCTACAATGATTTATTATACTACATGTTTAATATGGATTTAAATACTCACCTCTTTTCCTTTTATATTCCTTGAGGTAAAATCTGATATGCAATCGTTAAAACAAAGCTCCGTTAATTTATTATATGATATTAAAAAGTCTTTGAACTAAAAGAAATAATTAGGTAAGGTTTGTAAATGTATAAATATGTCAGTACTTACAGTTTTTATTTGTTCTCCATCAATATTTTCTATTCCAGTTCCAGGAGGTAGAGGCACACTCATTTCGGCAGTTTTAAGGGATTTTTAGTTAACTTTTAACGTGATCAATAACTTTTTTTAGGTTATGTCACTCAAACATTCAGCGTAGACCATAGATTACACAGATTACAGATTACCATTATTTCTTATCAAACTTAAAAAAAAAAACAGGGAGCTCACCCTGCTTTAAATATCGATATTATAGAATTCTAATTTAATCACGGTCTATTGAAATTTTAGGCTTTGGTGCACATTATATATAATACTAAAAATCTATTAGTATATTCCTACTAGACCTTGGATAAAAACTATAGTACTTTCTATCAATTTCTAAAGGTTGTAACTTTTAGCTGAAAAGCAATCTTTAGCATGTCTCCACAAATTATACAGATTACCACTAGATGTCGCGACATGTATTAATTAAAAATCAGAACAGCTGTCAGTGTCAGCTATCTAACCGTATTTACCAACTCAAAATTTCAGTTACTTACGCGCGGTTTTGTATATTTAAGTTAATTAAAAACTTGTTTGTAAGAATTGTAATCAATATTAAGTAGTTTCAACGTGTAGTGCTTAAAATATGTTGTGTTTTCTTCATTATTTTGTGAATGCAGTAGGCAGAAAGAAATTTCGGTGAGATGCCATATCCTAACCTAAATTTTTGTTTACACACATAAACAAATCCAAAATGCCTCAAAAGGATGCGCCGAAAAAGACTTCTGTCTCTAAACTAGCTAAAGAAAAACATGTTCGTATTATTAAACATTTTCAGCCTATATCATATAGTAAAGAACATCGCAACTATGAATTGCCAGAAGTGGACAATGATATAGATGTTCAAGAATATTTAAATAAAGTAACCAATCATCAACGGTTTACTTACCAAGAAAGAAAACCCAAAAATACCAAAGAAATATATACTAAAAATGAAAAAATAACTAAGAGTACCATTATAACCCGTAAAAGAAATAAACGTGGAATACTAGATAACACAGAACCTTCTTCTAAGTCACAATCTTCACTAGAAAATATAAATCATACTATTGAAATACCGAAACCATTTTTAACGAGGAAGTCAAAATCTTTTTCGGTTAATAGGAAGCCATCTAATCAAATATCGAGGCAAATAGATAAAAATAAAAGCAAAAACATTCTTATTTCTAGTAGTTCTCCGAATTTTAACGAAAACTATGTTACTAACTTAAAAAGAGAAATTTCACAAAGCAGGTGCAAAACAGCAGATGCCTGGCTAGACACTAAACTATATTTAATGCACAAGAACGAAATTCACAATGAAAAAGTTAGACACCTGCGCGAAGAAATAAGTAAACTCATCAACATCGATTTAGAAGAAAGAAAAAAACACGTTACTGATTTAAAAACGGAAATAGCCGAATTTAAGAGGAATGATTACATTGCTGTTTATAATGTTGAAACTCACACTAATACTGAAATCGAAAGCGAAAATGATGTGAAAACTGATGAAACTAATAAATCTTCTACAACTTCTGTTGAAGAAACAAGCAAGGAAGAGAATTCTGACATCGAAATGGTAGATATGAAGGCTGTTGCAGCATTAAGAGAAATTGAGGAAGAAACAAATGAACAAGAAATAAGGAGTACTGATTTAACTATTGAGGTCTCAGTTGAGGAGAAGGAAAAGCCGACTTGTGAAAAACTATGTAAGCAGAATATAACATGTTTTAGTTACAGTTATGGGCGTACGGACGCGCGGGTATGGGAGCGGGGAAAAGGGCACCGTAGCTTATATTGAATGTATAGGGTGAGCCAAATTCGACACTTGGAGGGTCTCTCATATTTTCCGAAAAGATATAAAAAAGTAATATGAATGCCGCGCCTTGATGTCTTAATTAATTTAAGAGACATAGGGCGTTTTTCAATCATGGCTGTTTACTTATAGCTGTTTTACATTCACAATTTATTGATCAATTAATTCATGAAATTGGACAAGTGTAATGCACCAAATCTGCTGTCAAATAACTTCATGAATTTATTCATCAAGTTCTTGACGAATTAGAGCATGTTCTAATTTTCGTGAATACTATTCAGGACTTGGATTTACCATTGCGCCCCATTCTCCTCCCCTAGCAATTTTTTTAGTTATTTTCGTTAGTCTTTTGGCCTGTACAAATACAATCATCGACTAACAACTTTTATATCTATTTTAGGTTTACTTGAGGACAAAAATGCAGCGAATGCGGGGTGAGTTATTTTCATTTCTATTAACTATTCAGATAGTATTAAGTATTAAGAAAGAACATTAATTATTGTTTGCGTTTTTCAAGAACTCGCCTAATTTTCGTTACGCGAGCGAGTTTTTAATTCTCTTCCAAACTTATTTGTTCGTTAGAAAAACGGATTCGCAGAATTTCAGATGACTAAATTTATTTTGTTCAGTATTACCCGAGTTTTTTTATTTTAAATTATTGGCTGTCCTCCAGATCGTATGCTTTGTTTAAATAGGAGAATTCAAAACAACCGGGCTGTTGACAAGCGGATAGTTTTCTATCAATGAAATAGTGGATTTGATCTGCCAAATTCTAACCACTCGCCAGGGTTCAAAAATTTCGTTTTTAACGATCTATTCCCGTTTAAATTCGTGTTGGTAGAGGATCTCCGCAATTCTTTTGCTATGAAAAACAAGTCGACTCCTATTGCTGCTATTTATAACCGTTTTAAAATGAGTTTTTCATTTAACGATTTTTGACCCAATATATTGTTCAATCAATACATTGGTCAATTTATAAGTTAAAAAAATTAAAGCTATATACCAACTTTTACAATAAAAATCAGTAATGATACCAGCAAACTGCAAATTATAACTAGTTCTACATTTTATAGTCTCACTAATATAACTTGTCCAACTTCTTAATCAATTAATTGTGTCAAAAATTGGATGGTAAATATAAAACGGACCTAAGAATAAAGATTCGGATCTTACTAATGGAATTTCAGTTTTCAGCATGTATAGGATGCGATAGACAGATTTTGATTCATGTCATTATTGTTATTAATTAAGATAACTTAGTTTAAATGAAGAGCGATAATTTCAAACATTTAAAATGATAATAGTAATAACAGTAAATGGAATATGGGTAGACATCTTAGAAACCATCAACCTCTTACCTACCCATGAACGACATTGAAAACTTGCTCAGATAAATATGGAATAACATCAATTTATCAAAAAAGGAAACCGTTATTGGAAGTATTGGTTGATTTTCTTATTTGATTTTGATACTGATTGAACTACAATTTGATTCACCGAAATATTCGTACAGGAAGTTTCAAGTTTTAGCAGAAAAACATTCTCTCGTATCTACATTTAAATGCCGAAAACTGAAATTCCACTAAAATTTTCTATTTTTCGATAATCAACCTCGAAATTGGAGCATATTTTTAATAGTGCACTCTGATGTGAAGCGTATTCTAACAAAATTTTGATGAAGTACATACACGAAACGTACCCAAATATGTGTATAGTGTACAAAATAATGCCTCCTACACTGAAGGTAAGTGTTGTTTAAATATTACTTATTTATTTCTTTTTTTAAAACCGCTAAACCCGATTTGCTTTTGTACTTTTTTAGTAAATTTTTTATTAAGTTGTTTATTATTTATTAATTAATTTATAAAATATTTTTGATGATATTCATCGTCACTCAAAATGATCGAATGTTATTGACTTGAGCAAAAAGTTATGTGGTTCCCTATGGAATAGCGTGGGGTTGGGGAGATACGAATAATCGTGAGCACTGGAAATACTGAAATACTCTTATGTACGGGGTAATCCATTATTCTCCCTATGTTTCAATTTACTTCTTTGCTATTAAGTTATTTGAATGAAAAAGCGAACTTTTTACATACGTCTACGTTTTGTCCGAGATTATTGGCAGCAGTACGGATAATTTACTTAGAAAGAAGTATTCAGTGTCACTACAGCAATCTGTCAGCGATCTGTTGTCGATTTAAGTTTTGTGACGATGTGTTCCAAATGTTTTCAACAAATCGGATACATAAACAGATTTGAACTTTAATCAATGTCACGGCTTACAGCTTTGATGCTGTTTTGATACATTATTTAAATTTAAATACTATTATGTTCGAGGGTTATCGTCGTGTCATATAATACAAACAAGAAAAAAAATGAGATAATTTTTATTATTTTCCGTGGTAACTTAAGTGAAAAGGTTATCCACGAATACCGCGAAACGGAAATACATTTTCTGAATCCAAAATAAACTGGAAAATAAATTAAGACAGATGCAAAATGTCAAGAGTTAATCAAGATCGATGGTCAAAGCTTCTAAATCTAACCTCAAACAACATCAATTACTTGTGCTTGTACAGATAAAGAGACAATGCTGATGGCCACGAAAGTTTACCTGATTCACTTGGTTACAGTAGGGATTAATTTTGCATTTTTGACTAACTATATACAGTGAGACCACGTTAAGGGTTTACCAACAATTGAATCGGTTAATACTTAAACACCTTAAGTCATTTTATACAAATGTTGAGGAATTGAAAAAACCTTTGTTGAACGTGAATTCCATAAAATTGTTAATTTGACATACCGAGGAGATAGACCTGGCATATATCCATGTTTTTATGTAATGGGAGTCTAGCAAAAAAATTAGATTTTGAAGAAATACGTTTTTGAAAATGCTGACAGGGTTTTTTAGAAAAAAGACAGATTTTCGAGTATAACTTAAAAACCAAACGAAAACACTTACTTGAATGACATGACTGGCACTAATCATTCGGTTATTTATTCGAATAAAGAAATTAATAACATTAGTCATCATTTTAATGATTTTATTTGAGTAAATGCTCAAAAATACGATACAAGCCCGACATCTTTTTAGTAACGAAAATGTAATTTGTTCGAAATCTACTGTTGCTTGAATCGGATGAAAAGCATTAGGTATTTATTCTTTCTTCTAACAGGTCAGAATGTCAAAGTTGCTATCACAGTCCACTAAAAATATTTTTTTAAGTTTAACACCCTGTATCTTTTTAACGAAACGTCTTAGATAAAAACTTTATAGAAAAGATTCCCCTTAAAATTCACCAAAGAATACGAAGTTTCATTTTTGGTCACCATTTTTGAATTACCCTGTATATAAGACACCAAACAGCAACAACAAGTTG